TATTTATCACCTCGCATCACAAGAGATACTAATTTGAAATACGGTAATTTTCTCTAATTCTAAGGAATTCAATGTTTTGTTCAGAACATATTTTGTTACAATACTAAGATATGTGTATCTGGCACCTAGCGGGTAGGCTAACGATCTCTTGCTGTTCAGTAGAGCTAGATACCAAGGTTATCCCCTACAATTCCGCTCACTCTATTCCGAAAATTAAATACATGTGCATTACTGATACTGAGATATTGGTACCAAAATTTGACATCTAGGGGTCTCTTCCGTAAAGCTAGATACTTTACATCTAGAGCCTTAGTCAGGCGATACGATCTGCAAGTAGCCCTGGTTCTACAGTTTTTGTTATAATTTTGATAAGACTTGGCACACAAATATATTATATTGTAACATGTAATTATTCTTAGGTCACCTGCGTCACTCAGATGATCCATTGCTATCTGTTCCGTCTGTTGGTGGTAGCTTTTTGACCGTTTTCAGTTTATTCTTTGGAAAGGTTGAACTTATTTTAACAATTTTTGGCATATAACATATGGAAAAAAGAGTGGCAAAATATAGTAAATTCCAAGTTATTTGTATCCCTGGGGCTAGAGGGGTGTCGCTGAGTGTCCCAAACCGTCTGAATTAATTTTCAATCGTCTCTTTTACCCCTTGACATCAAGCAGCCAAACTGTTAGCACGATTATAATACGCAAGTAGCCGTCTTCCAAAATTGTGAAAGTCATTTCCCCTGGATTCGGGGTTCAGGCTCCAGGATGGGGCTAAACTGGTTATATGTTAAAATGTATTATATCTTATATAAAATCTTCTTAACTCATGGACATTTAGTAGACTTACTGATGCATGATTTAGATTTGTACCCAACCTTAGAAAAAATTAATGGTCTGGTCGCCTGAAAGGAAAAACTCTAAGCATACTCTTTGCGTATAAAATACACTGAAATTCATAAGATCTTTGAAAATCCTCTTTCCTTAAAGACATCCAGTTGGCAAACTGATTATATGATTACAAAGAGTTCTTTAAAGGTAGTGTATAAGACCCTTTACCAAAATTTTAAAATTCCATTTTCCTTGTGTCCAGCGCTCATAGACACAGTGATGGAGTTAAGTTGGTCATAACTTGGATATATTTGAGAGGGTTATTTACTCATGGATATCTAGCGACACAAATTGTACTGTAGACACGTTTAAAAGGAAGACTTAGTACTCTACCAAAAATTTGAAATTCGTCAATACCTGACCCATGGCTTAAGCTATGTTGGTTATACCAGGTTTATTAAACAATACGTTGCAGCTTTGAAAGTACTAACGTATGTGGCAAATAATGATTACACTGAGTGCTTGAATCCCCTAAAATTATAAAATTGATGCATCCTGTGTGCAGCTTTTCGGCTCACGTGTTAAGCTAAGTTATTAACGAATTGAAAATAAATTTATTCTTTGGAAATCTTATCATTAAGACCGCTCCAAAAACTGCTCACTGAAGACTTCTAATTTCATGAAAGTTTTATGCGGTAAGAGTGATCTACCCTTTGATATAAAATGGAAAAAAATGGAAATCTAAAGTAAATGACACAATTTGAAAAAGATTAATGAATTCTAAACATTATATTAGACTAAGATAAAGTAATTGAAAACATAATTTGCATGCATTTTCCTAAGGGAAGAAAACAACAATGATTTACTTTCACTAATACTTCATTGTCTTTGAACATTTTTTCCTGGAGAAAATAGCAGGTGCCCTATGTTGAAAATAAACTAATCGGTAGATAATTTCAATATGAACACCTTCATATGATAAAAATATCTCAAAGTCCCCAAAACATTTTCATTAGTGTTTAGTGCTTCCTTACATCTTGTCAGTCGTGGAAACTTGGCAGATTTTTTTTGGTAGGCTTATGATAATACATGAACATGTCAATTCGATCTAGATCTCTACCAACATTTTAAAATACATCTCTTCTTTGGAAATCTTATCATTTAGTCGTGGACATATGGCAGACAAATTGTACTGCATAGATTCCATAAACCTGATCTAAACTTTCTTCCAAAATTTTAAAATTTATGCCCCCCCCCCCCCCAAACCCACGGTTCAGGGCCCAGGTTGAGGCTTATTTGGTCATACTTTATATCGAAAATAAATTGCATCTACGAAAATCGTCTTCATTTCTCCGGGACTTGTAGCAGGCAAACTGTCTGCACGATTACAGTGAGCAGCAAATCCTCGACAACGGTTATGAAGTTCATATCTATGGGATCACCCCTCAGGAGGGGATTAAATTGATTATATATTGAAATTTATTAACTAATATTTACATCTATTGAATATTTTCTCCTTTATTTCTAAGAAATATCAGTCTGTAAACACCACTAAGCAAATCACCTGCAAAGATTCCTTAAGCAGTGGTTCTTCCATCAATTACACGTACAATGATGTACATATTAATAATACAATATTTAATCTACTTAATCCTACTTTAAATGATTATTTGTACGGATACAAATATAAACAATAAAATGTCTTTCTTTGGTTTTTAGTATGGGAATTATCGTTGCAGCTACTGCAGAAAAAAATTACACAACCAGCTTACGCGGGTTATGCATTTTTTCTGCAACAGCTGCAACATTAATTCCCATACTAACAATCAAAGATTCTAGGAGACAAGTTGCATGGAATGATAATGAATATTAAGTCCATATGTCATGTTGGAAATTCTGAATTTACCGTGTGTAAATAAATATGAAATTTACAAAATGACAACTAGTTGTCATGTAAATTTTGTATTAACTGCCATCCGGGGAATTCAAAACTTACAAAACGACACTCATCAAAGTATATAATTTTTTTTTTAAAATTTTGACACATGACTCCAGAGTACCAGTTCTTGGTAGCGCCAAAGTGGTCATAGCCTGAGAAACACATGATACTGAGTTGGTGGTCAAGAACCAAAGGTCTTTTAATGCTCTAACCACTGCGCCACACGGGCGACGAGAAGATTTAAAATTAAAAAAAAATTCTTATGTACCGTACATAGTTTTTTCGCCCTGTGTTATTTTTGCCCTTTCACAAATGCAAATAATTATTTGAATGATATAATCTTCCAAGAGACGTAAAACAATCAATCATATACAAGTAAAGGTAATACAATTCGAGGTAGGTCCATGCCTTGTGTTAAAGAATCCAAATTGATTTTGGGGTTTATTCTAGTGGCAACAACATAATGTGTAAAAAATTAGGTGACAAAATAACTTTTAGATCTACATGTATAATTGTAAACCTTTGCAGCTGAAAAAAATGATATGGTATTTAAAACCACCGAGTGCGGATTGGGAGAGGGGTCCCGGCATACGCCTCTCTAAGCCCCCCTCCCGAATTGTTCCTATATAGTTTCAATGCATACATCAATGTAATATACGTAATATTAGATTCTTTTATGTATCAAAATCAGTTTTTCTAACACCAATTCTCGGGACCTTACGAGGGCTTCGCCACCAGGATCCAATCGAACATTCTCCTTCGTTGAACCGTTGGGAACCCCGCTGGTACGAGGAATCCTCACCATCTGTTTGTGCCCCCTTCAAAACAAAATCCTGGATCCACGCCTGAACACTTGGCTTAGTAACATGACAGATATTCAGAATGGTCATTTTCAGATATATGTACAATTGTACATTATTATCCTGTTTTAATTCTATAATCACAAGTACTTGTAGACAGGACCCCCCCCCCCCCCCAATATGGAAGCTCAGAGCTTAATGGTTGGGCTTCTTTTTTACACATTAATTATCACATATTTATCATGTTTATCACAGGAAAAACTCCATACTAATCGTCCCATATATAACCAGTTAAATTTTGGTTATAAGTTATAAAAGTAATTCCTGGACTATATCCGTTGTTCTAGCGTAAACGGGGAAGAAGGAATGTTGGCGGGTAATAAAGTAGCGGCGCTGTGCATGGGGCCGTAATACAATGTAAGCGAGAAAGGTGCCGTATTCCTTATGGTCTTCCAATATAAAGTCCAAGAAATGGTAAATCAGGTTTCCGAATTTATTATAGACGATGGTGAATAACAATCAACATGAATTTCAACAATAGTTTAACGAGTCAAAACTAGGTCTTAACCGAGTTGGATGTGGCCGGTAGAGCATCGGGCCTCCAAACTGAAGAAAGTATAATGAACATCGCTTTTTGTAATATTGAGAGTAAACAATAATTCAAGTCTGACACTAACTGAGTTAATTGATAAACAGATGTACATCTTTGTTGGAATGGACATGAAAGAATTTACAAAATAATTATATAAACAAAATCATTGTTACGGGATTAACAGGTCCTAAGGCATTTACACCTAATGGGTATCAATTCTTTTGACAGAGTCACTGAGTGTTAATTGGAATGTCTTAATCCTGCTTCAAAGGAAATGAGATAAATAAGACACAATTAATTAGAAATAAGCACATAGTAAAAACAGATAAAGTATTTCACAGATAAATGTTCAAATTTAGTATAACATATTAAAAAGTTATTTATTTCAAAAATGTTAATTTTGCTCGGTGATACATACAAAAAATATCCCACTTTAACATTATAAGAGAGAGAGGATTGAAAGGATTCCCTACTTCTTTCTTACTTTTCTGTTTTCTTCATTTATTCCACATCACACGGATATCATTGTCTCATTGAGAATAAAAATCAAAACCTTGAGGTTCGGATATACAACAAATGTAATGTTGATTGCTCTTTCATGTCTATTTTGAAATTGAAATTGAAAAGACAGAATCATTATTAAAATTGTTCGTGAAATTGTTCAATAACGGTGCTGATCATAATTAAATTGTAAATATGTATATTTCAAGAGACCATGTTACTGCAATGTTTTCTTTCGATAGATATCAGTTCTTAAAACTAAAATGCTAGAATTGCTCAATTATTTGTTACAGAAAAAAAATGAAATCAACACTTGGTATGATATGTTTAATCCGAAATATGAAAATTGTATTGATAAGGTGAATGGTATTGACTAAGAATGTATGTATGAAATATTTACAACAATAAATGCATGAATGAATAAAAAAAAAGATGATGATGATATTGATAATACAATGATGATAATGAGAATAACGATGATGGCACTGATGATGACGATCGAAGACGATGATGATGATAACCATAATGATTTTTTCCTCAAAAAATGGTCAAGACTGACAGCCCTTGACTTTAATTCTCTGTTTAATCAGAATGTCACAGGGAATCTCTGCATTTCTGTCTTAGTTCACATCCTGAAACTTTAGCATAAAAAAGTCATCAGGGTCGCGCTGACCAAACAACTTCCTTAACTTCATCGACATCCGCTCAACAAAGCTTGGTTTTCTAAAGCAGAAAGACGAAACCAATTCCTGTGATTTACAATCCTTGTTCTTTGACAAGACAGCTCTGGTCTTTTGTAGTTGGCGTTGAAATCTTTTTATCTGTAATGAAAGAATTGAAAAAAAAACTTTTACCGCGAATCTTTGAATTTTGTAGCAATGGATGGTTCATGACAAATACAGGGAAAAATTATCTACATAATATCCTTGCTGGGTAAACTTACATTGAAAACAGTTTCATCGCTGTCCTCCAGAATTCTGACATAATTCCGAGCAGCCTTTTCTTTTCCTGAACAAAAAAGTACAGTTCCGATTAAAAAAAATAATTTAAATGATTATAATGGTTTTCATATCTCCAATTTTACTGATTTTTTTTTTTCTTTAAGGATTTACTCTATCGAATTTCAACAATAAAACTATGTTCAAATGACCGGGATACCAATCTAATCAAATAATGAGAATGAGAAAATAATTTTGTTCCAAATAATTATATACTGTACATATATTCCTTTTTAACTTATCAGAGAGACATTAAACCTGATAAATTCACTGGGGAGTGAACAACTTCCAAAAATAATGTATGCCTATATGAATTTCAAATCATTATTATGATTAAATACTAGTAACTTACCGTTTTTCACCAAATACAGCAAATGATGTGTCCACATTCTATTTAGAGTACTTAAATCAGTAGCCGTCACAGTTCTGGATTTCAGGGCCTCCGTGAATAAGTACGCATATAATACATACTTCTTCTGTTGTTCTGGCAATAAACAGACAAAATTCATTAAAAAGATTGTAATATGTTTCACATACGTGTTTTACAGTACTTAATTAAATCTAGAGATGGTAAGTAAAAAACATGAATGTGTCTTTATGGAACGCCGGGACTGTCTTATATGAGGATTAAACATTATATGCAGTGTTCTCTTCATTATATGTGGTACTATTTTAATTATATGAAGTAGTTTCTACAGCATATCGTGTGCAACTTCCATTATATACAGTACTTCTTTCATTATATGATGTAGATGTGTCATTATATTATGTACATCTATCATTATATGAGGTGTTTTTATCATTATATGAAGTGCTTTTAACATTATGTGCGGTAGATCTAACATTATATGCAGTGAACACAACAATATATTATGTACTTCTCACATTATATACAGTATATTCATCATTATATGTAGTATTTCTGTTATTATGATGATGCTGATCGTTAAATATTATGTCCGGTCCTGTTAGCATTCCGTGCGGTAGATTTTGCATTTCGTTATGATGTAGACACAGTATTATATGCGGTGCTTTCTTCTTTATGTGTATGATCTTTCGGAAGCTACCTTTCGGAACTCTCTGTTAAAAATTCGGTACCTTGAGAACTCCGACCTTTCCTGTTGAATTCAGTACAATAAAAGTATGCGTATATAACAATTAATGCTCCGTGAACAGGTTAAAATGTTTTTTATAAAGATATGAAGTATAGGGTAAAAGAGTAAAATAAAATCCATTCTATTTCATGGTATGAAGTAAAGAGAGAGAGAGAGGGGGGTGTTGATAGAAATATTTTGGGAGTGGAAAGAATTTGAGGCATTTTCTATTTTTTTTGTGAACAATATGACTTTCAAAAAGATTCATATCATATATAGGACAATCAATGTCAAAAAAGATAATAAAAAACAACAGGGGCGTCGGCAAGAATTTGACATTGGGGAGGCGAACTGGATCGAAAAGGGGGAGGGGTCCTAACCAACTAAAATAAGCACCAAGACTTCAGCCAAAATCTTGATATTTTTATTTTCTGATTAATAAAGAACAATTAAACATGCAACCAAAAAAATGTTTTATGTGAATTAAGTTATATGCACTATAGATTAAAAAAACGGAATATTTTTAATTAGTTAGGAGCTAGTGGGTTTTTTTTTTCCGAAACGGCATAGAAAGAACTTTGAAGGGTTTATGAGGTAAAGATTAAAATACATATAATTTTCTATTATTGTATAATATTTATAGTTACTCGCCGAAAGAATGCATACATGCATGTAGTCACGGTTAAGAAAAATTTACTTGGCTTTGGATTGTATCTTATATAGTCAAATATCTGGATTTCAAAACTGCGTTCGCATGGATAATGCTTACAAGTGAAATGGCAAGCTTTTAAATAAGGACCTCTCCGTTTTTCACGAATTTCATTCAATCCGAAACATAGGAAAAAATATGCATATTTTTAAAATCAATTCAAGAAAAAAAAAACTGAAAAAAGGGGGGGGGGGAGCTTTTCGATCTTGTTACTGAAATTTAAAATGAAGAGGGTGATTAATCCTTCATAATCCCCCCATTTTTGAAATGCAGAAATGTGTATGACATAAAAAAAAATCATCTGAAGTTGTTTTAAATAGTATTTGTTACCCATTATTTTAGTATATTGCTTTAATTTTAATAGCCTACAACTTCGATTCATCAAAGATTTCCAAACATCGATAGACCAATTCATTAGACAATGAACAGGCCTGTTATACGCGGGGGGGGGGGGGGGGGGGAGGTGTCAGGAAGGGGTGCTCTAATTTTTTTTCTCCAATTTCTCCACTTTTTCTGAGAATAGGCTTAAGTTTCGATATGTAGAAATTCATTAACGATGCTGCCCCCCCCCCCCTTCCTTTCATACACACTTTCTGTTGCTGTCAGGTCGAAATCGGATAAATTCCAAAAGAATTGAAAAGAAAAAAAAATCCGGCAACTTAGAGAGCCCCCCCCCCCCTCAAAATAGAATTTCCAAAAACGTTGCTAGCTGTGGGCCTGATAGAGAATTTGTAGCAAACTTGCACGTAGAGCGATGGATACCATGCTTATTGTTTACAAATACAAACGCCAGGTACAGGTATATAATTACACACGTACACGTACATCCCAATTTGCGTCTGTGTAAACAATAGGTTTCACACTTCGCCGCTCCATTGACCACAGAGATATATATATATATATATATATATATATATATATATATATATATATATATATATATATATATATATATATATATATATATATATATATATATACGTTGTATTACTGGGTAATTTTACCACATATCTTTTTAGAAGTAAAATCTTGAAGTACAACCCACGACTCAATACATTTTCTGTTCTGAAAATCGTTTATCTTTTCCTGATACATTACATAACATTCACATAGTATTTAACTAAAGACAATTTCAGCAATTTTTTTTATACGCCATGGTTTAACACTTAATACTATGGAACAATAAAATTATTTCAGTAATACATTGTAATAAGTGCATCTCTCTCTCTCTCTCTCTCTCTCTCTCTCTCTCTCTCGTTGTAAACTATACTGAAGTATTGATATGACTTCGAAATTCCTTTAATATAGGGATAAATATTGTGTGGTATGTGATTATTCCGCGATGCTTTGGCTGACGTGTGGTTGATTACCAATTATTAAAGATAACCCAAAATCAATAAGAATTTTCATATCTAAGAACGAAAAAAGGTAGAACTTTCTAAATCTAACAAGGGGGGTTCCGAAAGGTAGCTTCCGAAAGATCATACACATAAAGAAGAAAGCACCGCATATAATACTGTGTCTACATCATAACGAAATGCAAAATCTACCGCACGGAATGCTAACAGGACCGGACATAATATTTAACGATCAGCATCATCATAATAACAGAAATACTACATATAATGATGAATATACTGTATATAATGTGAGAAGTACATAATATATTGTTGTGTTCACTGCATATAATGTTAGATCTACCGCACATAATGTTAAAAGCACTTCATATAATGATAAAAACACCTCATATAATGATAGATGTACATAATATAATGACACATCTACATCATATAATGAAAGAAGTACTGTATATAATGGAAGTTGCACACGATATGCTGTAAAAACTACTTCATATAATTAAAATAGTACCACATATAATGAAGAGAACACTGCATATAATGTTTAATCCTCATATAAGACAGTCCCGGCGTTCCATATGTCTTACCAGCAACCTCTTTCTTTTCGGAATATGAAAATCCTGTGCTTTTGTTTGCAGTTTCTTTTCCATACAGGAAAATCAAAAGTTGAAGAATATTTTGTCTCTAGAAAATGAAATAACGGGATAAAAAAAATTTATTTCTCTACATATTTCCTTACTTAGCGGGTAATCGGCACATTTAGGCACTGAATTAAAATAACCACTTCCACTCTCTTAAACCGATTAGAAGACATTAATAACCAATGCTTTTATAACATGTAACGTCTAAACTCACCACTGGAGTCATTGTCCGTGTGTTTGTAACAGATAAGTACTGTAGTAGATTTGATCTTAAACGCTGCTCAAATGTTGACTTTCCCAGCTTTTCCATCCTAGAAGAATATTCAGTGTGCTCAAAAGATCTTCAGAGGTGTGTTTACTTTTGTTACAAAACAAGATTGGTTCGCAACTTCTGTGACATCAGCGTACTGTGACGTGGAATCATTATGGCGTCATCAATAAAATTTAAGCTCATAAGTTATGGGTGAATATAGGTGACTCTAGCTTATTGATGTTTCATGTTAAATTATTCCTCTGGAAAAAGCTTACTTTACAAACAAATGCAATGGAATAATTACAGTATGGAGTGAAAAATTGACATAAACTCAAATAATTGAAAGCATTACAATTATTTGAAGATATAAATAGTTCAATTATTATGTGTACAAAAATGGAATTGATACGTAGATCAAATCAATAAGGGGGCGACAATGTGATTCTGAATTGTCGGGGGGGGGGGTAGATTTTGGAAATAGATATTCTGTGTAAATATGTTGCAAATATATAAACTTTCCTCCACTAGCAAGAATTGATAATATGACTTACAGAGATGAATTCCACTACATTTTAAATTGCAAAACCATGATAGATGACAGAAAAAAAATTATCGCCAAAGCAATACGGTTTAGATATATAATCACATTTAAAGAAATAATGAATTATTAAAAAAAAAACAATCCTTTAAAAAAATGTGTACATTTATGAGAAATAATTAAGAGCCAGTCCGCGAGAATAAACATGCAAAAGCTAAAAAATCGTCCAAATGAAAGGTTGCGACTTAGAATTCTTTAGTGGCTTAAAATTTTCTACATAAAAGTATAAGTCAGAATATCTACAAAAAATTAAAAAAAAATGTCGAATCTCGCATCTATTTTTAGTAACAGCTCACAAAGTGATCGATAATGAAAAAAAAAAAACTTTATGCCATCAGTTTATCTTCAAATTTTGTTTATTTTCAAAATCATGTTCTCCTTAATTTATATAATCAATGATGAAAAGCTTAATTCAAATGAATGCATTATTTTTTGAAGGTCTATTCATAGATCCTAAATCAATGAGTATGATTCTTTAGCCATTTTGAGATGCTCCTTTTTCTCAAAACCAAGTGAAAAAATGAATTAAAATAAGTGTAATCTTTAGAATAATCTTAGGTTTACTATGTATTAAAATATTGAGCTTGGGAAATAATATCTTCATGTTGTAAATTAACTTTGAAATACATACTTCGCTACAATTTCACATGTTCTCAATAATAGTCTTTTTATTTAATATCTAAATGAAAAAATGAGGATTCTAAATCTAATATATTTTTTAATAGGAATAACTGATTTAGATACTTCCTATAACGTTTTATTGCTTATTTTACTTTGAAACTTTTTTATTTCTCTAAAGCCCCACATGGGGTATGTTAGTACAATGAGAGTTTAACAACTGAACAAATCAACATGTGAACAGTTAACATAATGAACTACAAAAAGATCTTTGATATGGACAGTACTTTAGCTCCTTGCAACCAATATTTCCTGGAGTTAGATTGTTATCTCCCCTTGTTGGAACTCTTTAGTATTATTGGGTAAAAAATGGCAGGTTATCATTTTTTTTTTACCTTGTGAGTTGTTGTGGAGGATCACTGCACTATGGGAGTGGAAAAAGCACAATTTTAGATCTTTGAATGTAAGACAGAAAAAAACAACCCAACTTGAACGCGCAAACAGCCCCTGCGAGAAGGCTTTTATGTTGTATCATGCATATCAGTGTATAGAAATGGAAACTGTGATGGACTCTACTTGTTAAAACATTTATTATATGCTTTAAAACATCGTGATGACATTTTGTTTACTGGAGAAACAGCAAATATGGTGCATGTATGCGGATAGAAGGATCATCCTAAAACAAGTGAGACCAAAGCAAGTATCATATGATTTATCATATACGTCTTCAATCCCGCTTGTGCAAAGAACACAAACGCCATTTTCACAGTATTGGTGATTTTTCATACTGACTAATGTTATAATGCACTCTGAATCAAAAAAATATGATTAAACCCTTAACAATTATGACCAAATTATGACAAAATGGTACTCCTAACAAGTTAAATGATATATAACAGTCCTAATAGCCCTATGTTCTATACAATAAAAATATTAAAGGTTTACTACTGAAAATATTGCTTTATGCTGTTGTAGCTGAAAATGGCTTTTTTATACAGTTTTTGTTTCAGGAGATTTACAATGGAAGCTCTTAATGATAGATGCCAAATCAATGTAAAATTATCCCTCTTTTATATGCAATTCACTGTATGTAAATCAACAAAATATTAGCGAAATAATGTTTAAATATGTGAAAATGCAGATACGTTATGAAATTTTATATAATCCTACTGTTTGAACTTGCAATTAAAAAAAATATGTTAATGCATTACTCTTACTTTAGATTCATTTTAAAATTAGAGTTAAATGATAAATGAAACAGTATAGAAAAGTTTGAGTGGATTCTTCAAAACTTTAGAAAATGACATTTTCTTCTTACAGGCATAAAAATGTCCAAACATTCTGTAGTGTCCGCAACATGTGCTTATTTTGAAATACATTACAAATTATATTTCTTTTATTTTACACGTAAGAAGCCAGTACGGCTACTAATCTATCTACCAAAAAATCTGACTTTTGCTCAGTGTTGCTTGGGATTCTGGCAGATATATTTTGTTTTGTAGAGTCCGCAACGCTGTAGAGTCCCCAACAGCTTTTTTAATTCATTTTATTTTTAAAGGAAATGTTACATTATTTCAATTGATCATCACTATTGTAACGTGTCTGAGGTATGAGGCTTCTTATTCTTAACTGATCAAACCTCCAATAAAGGAGATATATTTCAGTGAAACCAATAAATGAAATATCCTGGTAATTTGGTAAATCCTTCATGATGGTAAATCCTTGTCTACAGGATATCATGGTAAATCCCTGTGTTGGTCAATAACATTTCATTGCAGAGGCAAATAAGAGCACAACAATAATTTAATAACGAAATAAATACACCGGTAATACAGATGGTTGGATAACAAGGTAATCGATCAATGG